TCTCACGATACAGCACAAAACTCTTTCTCCTGGTAAATTTCTTTTCCCAACAAAACAAACACTCGGTTCCCTCACAACAGGCAATTCTGTATCCGTAGACAATCAATACAGTCACTAATATTCCTTCTACCCCCCAAATAGCTGGCAAAAGCTTCCAACATTTTATTTTCAAAGAAGAGTGGTTCTTCCTGTATCACAACCATCTGTAACAGGATACACAATCATTGCCTGAAGACACTGAGTCCTACAGGAACGTTTGCAGCACTGGGCAACAAAAAGCCAATGTGTAATATCCAGAGCAGATGTTAAACAGCCTTAATGATTCCCTAATGGAGGTTTCTAAAAATATACATGGAGTGACTATCCAAAGTGATAGTAGTATGCTCAAAAGTCACAGGGACCCATATTTCCAAAAAGCGTGTTCAGGAATCACAGGAACAATGAGGAGTGGCAAAATAATAAAGAAACACACAGCTCCCATCTGTAGCTAGCTATATATACAGATCTCAAAGTAACGCTGGTGGTGTGCCTAGGGCTGGTTGGCTGAGACACTCAGGTACAGGTCATGGAAGTAGACACAGAACCACACTGCCGAGGTCTTCTGAAGTGCCTTCCTTTTCTTCACAGCCTGGCTTTGAGGTAGATCAAAACGAATGGTGGGAAGGGAGAAGGGTGATTTCAGTGAATGATTGGCTTAGTCTTCCTAACCTGGCTGCCCGCCTCTCCCTGCTCTACCAGCTCATGCTTATGCGATCCCACCTAAAAGAAGGCAGTGCACCGCTGCACTAAAGAAAAAGTAGCCCAGGTGGGTGGGGTGCTTCAAGGATAGCAGTGAGCCATGATTGCACCACCGCACTCCAGCCTAAGCGACAGAACAAGACACTGTCTCAAAAAACAAAACAAAACTAAACTAAAACTAAAACAAAAAACAGAATACCAGTGACCTCCCACAGGGGGATGTACCCGATGACCCTATCGCCCCCACCCTAGCTGGCTTCCTGCCTTTGTTAAGACTGGACCCAGCTGAAGCGGTGCTTGGGAGCTGTTTTACTGGGCTTGGAGCCAGCCTGCAGAATCAGGAGAGAAAGGAGTCTCCATCCCTCTGGTTGTTGCTGGTGCTTCTGTATTAATCCACAGAATCTTTTCTGCAAAACAGAGTGAATTCCCTTCATCTCCAGGACAGGGTGGAGCACTGCTTTCAGACACAGACCAACCTCCATCACCTCATTCTAAAAAGAAAACACAGATGAACAAAAGTTACTGATTTTTAAAAACATTATTAAATGCTTAGGTTTTTATTTCATTTCATTGAATTTTAACATAAAATCTTAGATAAAATTGCAAGGTTTATAAATTCCTAACAGAGGAAATTTAGTCTTCAGTCCACACACACACACACAAACCACTCTGAATACATGTCAAAAGGCAAATCACATTTATTGTTCATTGCTTATTTGTTTGGGTAGGATGCATGAGAAATAATTTTGATGATGTGGTTTTTGGGTGCTGAGGACATTTTAACATCCAGTCTCTTTTCATAATCTAACCATAAACTCTAAAATTTCCATTTTTAAAACATGTACAATATACTGTGAGAAATTCTGATGAGAGAAATGATGTGAACCCTAAGGGGCAGGTGCAGGTACAGATGCAAAGCCCTAAACAGACATGACACAGGGGAAGCCCGCCGGGGTCTACAGGAGTCCAGCCTCACCACCACTGACAGGACTGACAAGATTCACTATTCTCCCTAGCTGGCGCTTGTTCCTCTTCTCTCTCACAAAAATCCTGGTTTTGTCCTTTTTCCCTACTCAGTCTACGAGCTGACTCCTTCCCATGGGAGAACATACCAAGTACCTCCTCTGTGTCCAAAGTAACTCAGGATGCTGACCTTTCCTTTGACCTTTGTAAAATAGACTTTCCCCTCTTAGCCCACGGCCCCACTCATCTAGGAGGTGAAGAAGATCAAAGACAGGGAAGGGTGAGGGACGATGGACTTAAATTCCTTTATCGTGATATTTTAAGGAAAGTTTTTATTTTTATAAGGCATCCAAATATGCATGCAGTCAGGTCAAAATAATCGCCGTATTTCCAAATTAGAGAATAAGAAGCAAACACACAAAAACCCCTCAGGAATCCAAATTACAACCTAATTTCGGATTCTGCTTCTAAAGTGCACATATTCAAACCCCAAATGGACCATAGGCTGGCCTCAGGGAAATACTCGGAATCCCTGAAATTGTCTGTACAATTTTGTGTTGTGGGGAGAGGTATGTACATTTTTTTTTTCCCTGGGGAGAAGGTACACGGCTGCCTTCAGATTCTCTAAGGGGCAAACAAACCAAACAATGTTAAGAATCTTTGCTCTTTGAAGACTGAGAACATTACCATTGTGGGAAACTAGTTGCCCAGCTAATCACAGGGCGGGGGTGGCAATCCCCCAAGCCCACAGCTCACGTGCACGGGGAAACTGGCGAAAGAACTCACTCCATCCCTCTTGGTCCCTCCAAGGGCCCTGGGCCTCTCCCTGACACATCTTCCCTGTCTCTAGAGTTTGCCTCTGCGCTCATCCCCCATCTGCCTGCCTGCCTGCGATGAGTCCCTCTTCTTCTTTCCCTATTTCCCAACTGCTTCTCTGTGTACCCTTCCCTTTCAGAGGGCAGTGACACTTACATTCTGAAAACATAAAATGGCTCAAATATTGCACATTCATGCTCTGGAAAGTGGGACATGGGGTCACAGAAAACCCCACATTTTCTCAGCATGTCCCATCAGAAGAAACATCTGAGAGAAAGAGTGCAACTTCCAGAAGAGCAGAGACTTTGTTCCACTCATAGCTGCTTCCCCAGCGCCTGCTGGAGCACCGAGCCCTGGGGAAACAGCTGAGTCTCTTTGGCCAAGCTCAGGGTCTTCTGGGAGCCCTCCTCAGGCCTCATAAGCAGCCTGCCCTTTATCCTGTGTTGTATGAACCTCTCAGCCTCGGAAGCCTCTTAAACCTTTCCTCAGACCTCTGCCCACCTCCCTGGCCTCCATTTGGAAGGAGTCAGTAACAATTTTTGCAAGGGGCCTAAGAAAATCAAGACCAACCACAGCACAGCAGCAGCCCCCACAGGCATCGCAGGCCTCTTTACACAGGAGGAGGCTGAAGGTTTGTGGTTTTTTTGTTTGTTTATTGGTTTGTTTGTTCTTTTGAGACGGAGTTTCGCTCTTGTCACCCAGGCTGGAGTGCAATGGCGCAATCTCGGCTCACCGCAACCTCTGCCTCCCGGGTTCAAGCGATTCTCCTGCCGCGGCCTCCCAAGTAGCTGGGATTACAAGCACTCACCACCATGCCCGGCTAATTTTTGTATTTTTAGTAGAGGTGGGGTTTCACCATGTTGGCCAGGCTTGTCTCAAACTCCTGACCTCATGTCATCCACCTGCCTCAGCCTCCCAAAGTGCTGGGATTACAGGCGTAAGCCACCGCACCTGGCCTTTTTTTTTTCTTTTTAAAATTACTGTAATTGGGGCATAACCTCTTCACTCCACACACATATATTGTCTGCCTGACCCACAGACACACTTTATTCAGGATGCTCTGTGAGGAGGATCTCCATTTATGAGACATTTCCAGTGAGCTAAATTTGGCCTTCTGAATGGCATTCTTAAGAACTGTTTTACATAACATTCTGCCTTCTTAGGCCAACATTACTCTTGCCTCTCATCCTCAAGAAACAGTGTCATCATAATAAACACCTTGTCTTGTACTATGCACTAACACGTGTGCTTTTAACCCCCTGTTCCATGCTTTTGATTCTAGACCGTTAATGCACCTGCTGCCAACCACAACTACTTCTAATTTGCCTTTCATTCATTCAACTAGTATTTACTGAGAACCTACTAAAGTGGAGAAAGTGATTCTGATGGACTGTGGATGAGAACATAAAATATTCAAGATTGTTGGCATTATGGGCTAAATAAGAGCAAACAAGCCTCTGAGCCAGGTATCAGAAACTGAGATCAGCAGCAAAGGCCAGAGCTTCACTACAAAGCAATGGAAGGACATTTTGAGGTCCTGAAGCCATTTGGCCTTCTGACCTTCCTTTCTGCCAGGTTTTGTTCCGAGGGTTAAAAGTTCTCATATTCCGATAAATGGGGTGTTTGTTACATTTATTAAACAACATATCTATTTCCTTGTTCTGTTCTTAATTTTAAAAGTTGACGAGTAAATTTGTCATAATTTTCTAAGGAAAGGAATAAACTTGTCCCTATTAATTTCTTAATGGTCTCAGTGGCCTTCAACAGAAAAAGAAATAGGTTCCCCATATTAAGATACTCTGAGCAATTTAGCTGTATCATTTATTTCAAATTCTTCAATTCTTACTTCTCTTGGGAAACCAGTGTCTCCATAAAGTTTGCTAATCATGTTGTAAAGTAGGATACAGGGCTTAGAATGTGGGTGAACTGCATGAGGAAACATGTAGCAATGTTCATCTTTATGGTTGAATTATCTTTTCCATAACTGTTCCCCAACTACACTGTGTAATTATGGAGGGCACGGACTGTGTAGCCTCCACAGAGAGGGGAACATCACCTCACAGCAACACCATGCGCTGAGGGGACGAGTGAAGAAAAGAAGAGTCTGACACAGTACCAAGTCACCAAAGTTCCCAAATCGAACCAAACCAATCTGACTCAATTGGTTTGAGTCACCTCCAATCTGGTTCACCTGTTTATCATCACAACTCTGACTTCTTTACTTGCTCTACTTACCAGAGAGCAAGAGGGATGCTGGATCAAGCCCCAGACTCTCACAACCAGGTAGGTTCTCATCATGGAAATCCTGTAGCAAAATGCCCAGCACCAACTCCTCACTCATCATATACTTCATAACATTTTCATCATCTGATGGAACCCCAAACTGCAGGTGGTAGGTTACTGTGGCATTTTCACCACTGAAAGGCAAACCAGAGACATTAAAGCACAGACAGCATCACACTACAACTCGAGAAATGAACTTAAGCAATAACTTTTTTTAAAGTTTTGCATGTTCTTCCAGTACAAAATAGCAAAGAATGTTCTGTCCTGGAAGAACATAGTGTCCTGTAAGAATCCTTTTCCACAGATTCATCACAAAAAGTTGAGGTGATCCTAACCGCCTCCTTCCACCTAGTACCCATCCTCTAGGAATCCACTGGGAGAGGCCATCAGAGGGAGAGGTGCAGCCCATCTCCGGTCAAGATGCTGAGAAGATCCCAAGCTTCGCCCATCATCTGTTCCAACCCCAGCCTTCATCCCTCGAGGCAAGCCAGGGAAGCCTCCCCTTTTCTCCACACACATTCCTTCTTCATGTTCTCAGCATTGCCCCCACAAAGGTGTGCCAGGGATCTTTAGTTTAATCAGTTCTTTATTTGACCTATGAAAATGTTTAAGGCACAGCCAAAGCTTCCTACCTGGGTCCAGACCTTCTGAATGCTGGCAGAGACCACCCTGTGTATCAGCAACAAATCAGGCTTCCCTGGTTTGTCCCCAAAGTGAGAAACTTTTCTGTCCCATTTCCAGAGGCCCCTAGGGCAAGATAACCAAGCCCTGTAACTCTCAGTAATGGGACCTAAGGAAAGGGAATTTTCATCTTCCTAGAACATTTTTTCCTATTTCCAAAATAAAAATAATCAAGGGTTACCCTCCATTAATTAGTGTCTAATGCTACTCTTTAAATGCTACTTCAATATTTAGTTTATTCGTAGTTATCCTATTACTTTGGTTCAAGATGGGCCAGATTAAGAACCAGCAATAAAATAACGAGCAGAAGGCCACATCGGAGACTATCACCTTGGGGAAGTTTTGCAGATGCGCCAGGCCCATTAGTGTGAATCAGGCCACTGCCCCTGCTAAGGACAGGCAAAGAGCTCCCTCTTCTGGCCACAGGTCACACAGGCCACTATTCTTGGATCTTACACGGTGGCTGACAATTGAGTTATAAACTCTGCTACAGCTGGGAGATGTGCCAGATCCTGCAGAACAGATGAATAATGGAGAGTCAGGACTCTCAAGAAACTCATAGTTTCAAGGATGCCCTACAGGAAAGCCGAAAAATGCACTTTCAAACTGCAATCCAGCTACTCTAGTTTGCAGGTGTCATAACTTGTTCCCTGAGCTCTGCCCTCTAATTATCGCTAATGAGGATCAACACCTACACAGCCAGCCACCCTGCATTCCCAGGGGCAGGACTTGGGCTGGCTAATGGAGAGGGCCAGAGTCTGACCTTCAGAAGACCAGGTCAGAAGCTGAATGGGAAAATCAGGCCACCTAGCCTGGCCTGGCCAGCCCATCCTAATCCCCCATGGCAGGTCACAGGGTAAATTTATGTAAGGCTGAATTCTGAGAAAAGAGCAATTTTCAGGGCCTTTCCCCCAGCTGCCCACCACTGGAGTGAGTCTAGCAGCCAATAAGCCAAAGGGCATTTTTCTAGGTTCTAGTTGGGCTAGTCCAGGGCTGAGGTCACAATGCCCCTGTAAACACAAATGCATGTGCCGAGGATTTAGCCGCCTTCCACCCATGTGCAGCAGCACCTTTTGGGAAGCAATGGCTTTTCTTCCTCAATTCAATACTTTAGAACCCCTGCCTGGACTTCTTGAAACAAAGTGAGGACATGTCACCATAAAGTATCATGTACATTGGGTCTGTTTTGTTTTGTTTGAGTCTCTCTGTGTCACAGGCTGGAGTGCAGTGGTGCGATCTCGACTCACTGCAACCTCTGACTCCCTGGTTCAAGCGATTCTCCTGCTTCAGCCTCCTGAGTAGCTGGGGTTACAGGCACGCGCCATCATGCCCAGCTAATTTTTGTATTTTTAGTAGAGACGGGGTTTCACTATGTTGGCCAAGATGGTCTCAATCTCCTGACCTTGTGATCTGCCTGCCTCGGCCTCCCAAAGGTCTGGGATTACAGGCCGGAGCCACCATGCCCAGCCCTTTGGGAGTCTTTAAAGAAGGAGATCAAAGGCAGCCTGCACCATATGTATCTGTAGGCTTCAGGTCTGTTTGGCCCCACACCATAGTGCTACCTACCACCTGCTTTATGTGCCTCCCCTCCCAGATCTGCTAATATTAGGGTTTGGAGAACTTATAGTTTGAAAGGGGACTCTTAATATAATACAACTTTCGATGGTCATATTCCAGAGACATCTCAGGCATCATGGATAATGAAGCTTTGATGTAAATTTTAAGTCATCTCCAATAGTCCCAATGATGTAAAAGGATAATAAACTGACTTCACACACATATATCCTAATGCCTACATCTCAAGAACATTAAAGATGAGGAGGAAATTAAAAAAATAAAAAATACATATGGGTGTGTATATCCTATGTGTGTGTGGTGCCTATAATAGATACATGAACAGAAGTAATTACACTCAACTCTTGACAGCTATTAACTCCATGGAAGGGAATGGCATTAGTTATTGGTAGTGGCAGTGGAGAAGAAAGGAGACAGAAGGTAGGCTTTTCCTGTGCATACCTCTTTATGTCTTCTTCTTCTTCTTTTTTTTTTTGACAGAGTCTGGCTCTGTCACTCAGGCTGGAGTGCTCTGGCGCAATCTCAGCTCACTGCAACCTCCCCTCCCGAATTCAAGAGATTCTCCTGCCTCAGCCTCCCGAGTACCTGGGATTACAGGCACCTACCACCGCACCTGGCTAATTTTTGTATTTTTAGTAGAAGGGTTTCACCACGTTGACCAGGCTAGTCTTGAACTCCTGACCTCAAGTGATCCGGCTGCCTTGACCTCCCAAAGTGCTGGGATTACAGGCATAAGCCACAACACCCGGCCCCTCTTTACATCTTTAATACTAAACAAGGAGAATATACTCCTGTATTACTTGTGCTCCTCAGAAGCAAATGCCTATACACCTATACATAGATTATATCACTCATATCACAGCATTACCTGAGATCTATTTCTACTTCTACCCTTAGCTTATTTGAGCATTCATTGTTGAACAGGAATCGTTTACCTGGGACTGGCTTTTCCTCTATTCTGTGTGACCCTGGTCGAATCATACCATTAATCTGGTCTTCTTTTTTCTCATTTGTAAAATAAGGGAGTCAAGCCTGTTGGTATAAAAGACCTTCCTAGCACTGACATTCTGTGATTTCTGTGATTCTATTATGGGTTCCCTTCATGCTCTGAGGCTCTGGGAAGCCCTGCTAGGTAAATGATGAAGGGTGGGGTGGGGGGGATCTCTTTCCAGAGAAAGAGAGCAAAATGTAATGTTCCACACTCTTACCTGAAGTCCACTATTTCAACTGAAGTAAAATAACGACTCAGAGAGGGCGATGTACTGTACACATCAGTGAGCTAAAACAAACAGAAGCAAATTAAACCACACACATTACTGACAGATTATATTACACAACACCTGACAAAGCAAAACTACTTCTATGGCAGAGGAGATTCCATTCTAGACTGGAATCAACTTATCTGGAAGCTCTGGATCAAGAAATAGGAAGGTTTGAGCCTACCATAAACCAAAACTCAAGTTAACGCTACTTCAAAAGAACCACATTTATAAGGACCAAATGACTCAGCTTCTCTCAGAAGTTGCACTGGCACCCTGTGGCCTTGGTGGTGAGAATGTCAGCAGCTGGAGCCCACACAGACCTCACAGACCATAGGAAGGAGAGAAGACCCCAAAATGGCTGCTGGACAGCAGCAGCACAGACCACTTAGCACCTGGGACATTGCTTAGCCAGGGCTTCTTTCTCCCTTCTCCAGAGCTTCAGCATAAAGACAAACAGCCATGCTAAGCCACGGGTCTAGCACATCCCCTGGACAAAGAGACAAACAGGGGAATTGCAAAAATACGGAGGCTTTATTTTATGCATGAAATATTGCAAGCATCATAAAAAATAATGACACCTGTGTTTCCACTACCTAGCTTTCGTGTCTTCACAGTTTGCTATATTGGGTTTGGCCCTTTAATTTAAGAAACAAAATAAAGCTAAAATGACCCCTACATACCATTCAGCTCCTCCTCTCTCTCTTCCTTAGTACTAACCATCATTCTGAAGCTGGCATGCATCCTTTCCTTGCATATTTTAACAAATTGCTACTTATTTATGTAATCATAACAAAATATAATTTGTGTTTTTATTCAAACAAAAGGCACCATATTCTACAAAATCTTCTAAACCTTGCTTTTTTTCACCAAAATTACATTTAAGATTTATTCATAAAATAAATCTCAATAAAAGGCATTTACCTAACTCCTGCATAGATTCGTTTAAATGAGTATACCAGCTTATCCATTCCCCTACTGATGACCACATGCACTATTACCAATTTCCCCCTATTACAACCTATGCTGAAGCAAGCATCCTTAATTTCTCTGGGCATCTCTTCTTGGGCACGCAGGAGTTTCCAATGGGCATATGCCAAGAAAAGGAATTGTTGGGTTCAAGGGTAGGTTCATCTCCAACTTCACAAAATTGCTCTCCCTGTCCCATCCCTCCCAGCAATGTATACATATCCATTTGCCACATCCTTACCAGCACTTAGTGTTACCAAACTTAAATTTTTTCCACTCTGAGGAGTATAAAATAGTGCTGCACGTTATTTTAATCTGTACCGCCTCACTTACTAGTGAGGTTGAACATCTTTTCATATGTTTATTAACTCTGGGACTTCTCATCTCTGAATTTCTCACTCATTTCCTTTCTTTCCCTTGGCTTATCTATCTTTTTCTCATCTAGCTGAAGTGGTTAGTTTTATATTCTGGATACTAGTTGGTGATATTATGTTACACACATCTTTTTCCAGGCATTGAGTAGTTGTGTTTCAGAGGTCTGAATCCTAAACTAGTAGTACTCAGGAACATGTGCCATCCCCAGCTACCGCCATTATGGCTTAATGACCTATTACTTTATTCAATAACAAGCAGTCAAACATACAAAAACAGCAGTGCCCTAGGGAGAGCTCACCTTGCTTCCCCTCAACTCTGAATGGAATGTCAAGGACGCTGCACTTCCACAATACACTCCCATTTAATTCAACATGTACAACCCATCTCTCAAAGAGAGAACAAAAGATGAGAGTGCCTGCTATTTCTGCTCTTCTA